TGCCATGAATTAACTCCCGTGGGCTCAAAGTACTGCTGTGTTGAATGGTGCTCATAAGTCATGTAAGCACTGCTCAGTGCAGGATTTTGGACTGCCAACTGCCCCCTTCAGTGGAGAAGAGGAAAGACTCACTGAAAATAATTAACTAAATTGGCCAGAAGGCCACTGGATTAAAGCTATATATTATTGTTTAATATGTGAAGGGGGGCCTCCGAAAACTGAAAATATGCTTTAACTTATGCTAAAAAAAAAAAAGAGTATATATGACAAGGACACTAATTTATGAGGGCCAGCAGAGGGGTTTTCTTAAAACCAGGGAGTAAATACTGTAAATGGATCCCAAAAAGCTTAAAGTGTTACTAAACCCAGGACCCTGCATTCACTATATCTGGTCCCCCACAGTACACAGAATATGGAAGTGCAATTATGTTAGTAAATATAAACTGCTAAATACCTTTTCTCATCAGCAGTTAGAGCAGTCTTGTGACTTCAGAAGAGCACTGGTTAAAGCTCGTACAAGGAGTTTTCTTTCTGCTCTAGGAGGATGCAAAACCCCTGACCCTCTGTCTGAACAGTGCTGATTGGCCCTGTGCTGATCACATGCATTCTCTCAACAAAAAAAAATCTCTAGCAATACACACCAAATTGAGCATGTGCATGTGGCTACGGGTTCAGTATGTCTTATCAGGTGGATGTTTGAACAAGAGGCGGGGCAGAGAAAACAGAATCAAACTGCATATACAGACCAATTTTACTCTTGTGGGTTTAGTAACACTTCAGGATTTTTTCTTATATTAGTATACCAAGAAAGTCTGAAGATGTTATGAGGTCATTATATTGTAAAGCACTGAGCAAACTGTTGGCGCTATATAAATCCTGTATAATAATAATAATTAATATTATTATATTGCTTGCTTCTGCTACTTTCCAAGCCTCCTATATGGCTACTGTATAAAACATTTTTTATAAAAACACATTGACCATCTTAATGTGTTAATGGGTTACAGAAAGGCAGAATAAAAAGTAAAAGTTTCTCTGTCTGACTGGAAGAATTTTTCAAATAATTTATTTAGAGACACTGGGGAAGTTGTAATAAACCTTGCATTATAAAAGACTTGGGTTACAAGATGTCCTGGCATTCATGTGATTGCCATTGTCCATCCAACAGCAGACTGTCTTTGTCTACATACTGGAAATGTCTTGACCTATTTCTCACACTTTAGTAATCTGCCTTATAATAGTGGATAGACTCAAGGATGATGATGATTCAACCACTGATCAGAATGATAAAACAGCAGCAGAATTATCAAGTACAAAGAAAGTTGGACACATTTTACTCATCTAAGTGGAAATAATACTTCGATAAACCTTGGCATGACCAAATTGAATATGAACTGTAGCAGTTATCACAATAATACTACAAAATCCACCAGCGCCAAAATTAATGTATTATCATAGTACAGGATTTATATAGCGCCAACAGTTTGCTCAGCGCTTTACAATATAACGGGAGACAATACAGCATCAACACAAGAGGGAGGGTTAGGAGGGCCCTGCTCCTTGGAGCTTACAATCTAAGTGTAAAATAATTTAAAATATATAATGCTGCTGCTCTTTAGTGATTCCACTAATATCACAAATAAAAAAAAAACAGCGCAAAAAATATATACATAATATAAATCAACTGACAAAAAAGGAAAAAAAAAAAAAAAAATCAATTGGTGCAGAAATATGATAGTCCCACTCCAAAAGTAGGTAGAATCCAATATACTTGATCAGATACAATCTTCTACCACAAACAAGAGACCTTGACCAGTGTTCACATCCGTTGTGTTATTCACACACACCGCACTCACCAGAAATAGGTAAATGGAATGCCTTTATGTTATAAAATCAATACATCTGGGATTCACAATGGAACTCAGATCAGCCTCCACCTCCAGGCCAGGCAGAAATCCCAGAAATAGGTAAATCAAATGCCTTTATATTATAAAATCAAATACATCAGGGATCCACAGTAGAATTCAGATCAGCCTCCAATCTCCAGGACAAGCAGAAATCCCTTTCCATATAGGTCGGTATTTGTGCAGAGAAAAAAAACAAATATAGTGTAATACTGCAAGACCCAGATAAGATGCATCCAAATATCAAACCACTCACATTGTAAAAGAATGTAACCAGCCATTTATTAATTTATGTGGAGCCAAACCGCCGCATAACCAGGGTAAAGATCTCACAGCCAGTATCAGCTGCCAGCATGTATAGACATCAGTGATTCCTCCCTCAAGCAAGATGGCCCCTGGAGCGGCGTGCACTTCACTTACCAGAAGTGACGTGGTACGTTAGATGGCGAAGCCGGAAGTGCGTAAACACGTTTCACCCCCTCCTCCAGGGCGTTTTCACAGAGAACAAAGCTCCGGCTTCCACCGGAGTTTTTTCGTCCTCCCCCCTGCTCCGGAGTGGTTGACTATTATTCTCAATAAGAGTTCGGCTGTCAGCTATTACTCATGCGGGATCTCTTTACAATCTTAGGCTATAAATCACATTAACCTGACTAAGTGGTAGTCCAACATTACAGAATAACCCCATTTTGAATTAAGGCACCACTTTATAACTAGCGCAAACTTATTATGAATAATACATATATAAAAAAAAAAAAAAATATATATATATATATATATATATACACATATTATAGGCAAAAAATATATACTGATATTAAAATACATACAAAAACAAAAACTCAGAAATAATAATACCAAAAATAATCATCTCTGATAACCCATTAAAATAAAAATGAAAATAAACACCAAACAAAAAATAATTTTAATCATAAAACTATTCCAATAGATGAATATGGAGATCCAAAACACCAAACCCCATATACCCCTAAACTCAATACGAGTCTACCAATTGGAAAGGAAATAATTTAGGTCAATATACACATTTAACCCTTAGGGGCCAATGTACCTAACTGGTAATATCCATTTCGTTTCATTCTGTGAAACAGACTTAACTAAGTCACCACCATGCCAATGGGGTGTAACTTTTTCTATGCCACAGAACCGCAACGAAGATGGGTTCCTATTGTGAAATTCCCTAGATGATAACTGGAGTCAGGAACACTGGGAACACACAGGGAGTCACAAAAGATCACTGGAGATACACTCAGGAAGTCACTGGGAATCATAAGGGGAGAGGACAGCTAGCGTGGATCATCATTGCTTGAATGTTGAGCAACATGTGCCCTGGCCCTTTAAGACAGAGCCAGGTCATGGATTGGCTGAGGTGCTGGTGACCACTGAATGACTGTATGCCAATGGCCCTGTATAGGGGAGAAAACCCAGAACTTTAGCATTGATCATTTGAGTGTGACAACAAGTCTACACACTGAGCTGTTCATAACTAAAATGTGCTAATAACGGACAATAGTCTAAAATAAAGTGCTAACATATTTTTTATACAGAATTAATTTACATTTTCTTTTGTATAACAGACAATAATTTAATCCCGTATTTAATCCCAAAAAAGGTTTTTTTTTTAATTGTATATGTGAGATGTTATTAAAACATGTTCATCTGATATTCTTGCATTTGACAAGTTTACATCATTTGAACAGGTTGGAAAACTGTCATGCATTTGTGGAAACCCATGTTTGCACTAAAGGGAGCCTAATGAGGGACTTTTACCAAAATTATATTAAAATCAATTTGTACTTATTGAACAGACCCATAACTTTCTGAAACAATTTGACTAGTTCTTGTTAAAAGCCGCAATCACTAACTTCTCCTCAAATGATTGATTCTCAGTGTATCCTAGAAAAGCATTGTATGGATTAATGAAATGTGCTGATTTAGTACTTTTTAGATATTTAATATTCTTGATGCGTAGAAGAATTCCTCATCCATCTTTACTGGAGTAATAACGTATGCAGGTGGAATGGAACCTATTTATTGTCTTACTGCTTTGTACCATTCTTTTCAGAGTAACCACATTAAAGGTAATTTGCCACCTCTTTTGAACCCTATTGTTGGCCAAGAGAGATGTGTCAGTGTTTTACATCCTAGGCAATAGCAGTAAGGAAGTTTCCTTTGAAGTGATTCCAGTGGGACAAAAGAGGATGAACCTTGGGACTTTCAAAAGGTCACTGCTACTATCCTGTGCCTCTGGCAATAAATGTCCATATGAATCACAAAAACAGGCCAAACTACCAATACCATTCCTCACATTATTTGGGAAATTCAGTTTTATATTATTATAAAATAATTACCTTTTGTAAAATCACTTAATTTCTTCAGAAAATGTATTGCTTTATCTGCAATAGAAATCCTAGTACTGAACTCCACATGGACACTTCTTTATAGTAATTTACACCTGTATTTCCTGGGAAGCAACAAAGGATGGGGAGCTCATTGTGATGAATCCTGTTGGTTCACTTTGCACCAATATTTACAGATAATGGGGTTTGAATGGGGTTTACGAAAACTGCTGAGTACAAAAATTGGTTCAGGTCTGCATAGAAGCCAATCATCTTCCAAGTTTTTTTTTGTCAAAGCTTAATTGAACAAGCTGCAGTTAGAAGTTGATTGGTTACCATGTACAACTGCACAAGATTTTGTACTCTCCCATTTTAGTAAATCAACTATAATGAGTAATCCACAATTCCACATGTGCGTACATGTACGAACAACATGCAATATTGGGACAAGGTCCACTGGTACAAGGTCAGGGTGACAAATTGTGCCAGCCCATAGCTCTTTAACTGGACATTACAAAACTTAACACAAACTAAAACATTTATACAAACAGTTTAAAAAATGCTAAGGGAAGGGAATAAGATTGGGAAAACATTGTCAGGAATGGACTGGCCAGCAATGGTGGGACTCACCTGCCTTTTGATCTGCAGTACCAGGGCTGGCCAGCGGGTGCTCCCAGCAATCAGAGACTCAACCTTTCAGCCAGCTAACACCTGGAACTGATGATACTGGTGTATTTAAGGGATGGCCAGACTTGCAGACTCTGCCTTGGTGTTGTGTTTGTCCTGGGCCCTGTATCTGTCCTGCATCCTGTTTCTGTTCCTTTGCTGACCCTGCCTGATCTGAACCGCTGCTGACTTCTCCTGCTCTGATCCCGGCTCGCTCCTGACCATCCCTCTGCCTGACCCTCTGTACCACGCTGCTTGCTACCTGTTCTGATCCCTGGCTTGTGACCCTGACCATCCCTCTGCCTGACCCTCTGTACTACGCTGCTAGCTACCTGCTGAACCTGGCCTGTGACCCCGACCCATCTCCGCTTGCTCCCCCTGTACCTACCTGCCCTATTGATATTGACCCGGCCTGCCTGACGACGCTTGCTTGTATGTACTGTTATCTGTGGGTGGTTGGTTTGGTTTGTTTGCACTGTATTATGTTTTAGTATTGCACTGCGTTTATGTTTGTATGGTTAGTGTTAATAAATTATATTGTTTATCACATATCTGAAGTCTGCGTTTCCCTGCGTCAGTCACACACCTCTGGTCACACCTGGGAGCCCTGACAAACATTTAATAAAACAATTAGGATTAACTAAAATTGTACTACAAATTTTAAAGTAAAAAAAAAAATCATTAGGTTTACTACAAATTTTATTCTGTTATGTGTCCCTTCTATATAGGAAATAGAACCATGTTTCTGGCATAAAGCATTTTTTTTGAAAATTTGGTCCTGCAAACACAAATGAATGCAAATTTAAAAAGTTTACATACAAAAAGAAAAATCTGCAAATAAAGAGAGAGAGGAGGAAGGGCTTGAAGAAGTTAATAAAAACTAACTAGGGTTCTTTAGCAGTTAATAACTGGCTAAAATGTTGAAAAATAAATATAAACACACACAGGGCCGTGGATAAGGGGGTGCCACCAGTCCTCCTATACAGGGCCAGCAGGAGGGCTCAGGCAGCTGGGTGAATCGGGTATGGGCAGGGAGGCAATTATTGGAACCAATCCCCTTTATGGCTCTCCCTGCAGCAGCTGAAAGGTGACTTTCTCCCTCCTGCTGGCTTTGAGCTGCTGCCCAGAGAGCCATACAGGGGATTGTTTCCAGTAAACTGCTCCCCTACCACCACCACACCCATCACCCTTCCCTCTTCTCCTTTCCATCTGCAGCTGCAAGCACACAATAGGATCTTTCAGGCTGGGGAGTGGGAGAAGGGCCCAGTAAATACAGTTATGTTGTATTCAAAATACAGTGATCCCTCGTTTTTCGCGGTTAATGGGGACCAGAACCTTCCGCGGAAGCTGAAAAACCGCGAAGTAGTATTTGCCCCTAGGAATTTTTGTGTATGCGGGTACTGTACAAGAATGTTTTAAATATGTAAACAGTATTCATACTTTACTCATTTAAGACAAAAATTACAACAGTACTGTACAGTATACGTATTTACTTAAACGTGTCAGTGCTAATTACAATAGGGTTAATTACAAAACCTTATACGGTAATAAACATTAATCAACATTGCTTTCTGAGAGAGGCGAAGAGTCTTGTGTTGGTGGCGGAGGAGAGGCTCTCACTTGACTCGGAGACTCTTCTGCTGGAGGCGCTGACGGTAGAGCCGGGGGCTTTACTTTGGAGAGAAACATGGTGATGGGTAGTTGTTGTCTTTGTTTTTTTCTTTTCCTTCAAAATTCCCCTGTACAAGGACATAACCACGTCAACGCGATTGCTGAACTCAACAGCTCGAACCATATTGTCGTCAATGTCTTGTGCAAATTGTTGCATCGCTCTTGCCATGTTGCACAATTGTTGCAGATTCTCCAGGGTAAGGCCACGCTTTTCAGTTTCTTCTTCATCTTCCTCTTCGTTTTCTTCCTCACTTGCAGACTTTGTCATCTCAAGGAGGTCTTCATCGCTCAGTGGGTCCGAGTGGCAATTGATAAGGGCGCTGATGTCTTCTTTTGTCATGTCGACAAATCCTTCATACCTTATGATGTGAGCCAGCCTCACCGCCTTCTCCACCGCTGAGTGATGAACTTCTTCAGGAGTGAAGCCTGGATAGTCGTGCACCACGTTCGGCCATAATTTCTTCCAGCTAGATTTTATGGTCTCACTCTTCATGTCCTTTAATGCTTGCTGAATATTAGACAAACATGAGGCAATGTCGTAACTACGCCAGTATGCTTTCAAGGTGAATTCATCATTGGCATCGTCAACTGCCGAGATGAGGCCCTCCATCGTGGAGCGAGTGTAGAGTGCCTTAAAGGCACGAATGACACCTTGATCCATCGGGCTGAATTAGAGATGTAGTGTTCGGGGGCAGAAACTCTATCTGCACACCGTCATATTGCAGGTCCGTTGCATGGCCTCCTGCACAGTCCATCAGGAGAAGGACCTTAAAGGGGAGACCCTTTTCAGCCAGATACAGCTTCACCTGGGGAATGAAGCAATGGAGGAACCATTCAAGGGTCAGAGCTTTCGTTATCCAGGCCTTGGAGTTATGCATCCAACAGGGCCATATTTTTGTTTTTTAATGCCCGTGGTTTTTTGGCTTTTTAAATAAGGCCTGGCTTAAGCATAAAACCTGCAGCATTGCCAGCCATGATGACAGTCACACGGTCTTTGTGAGCCTTGAAGCCTGGCCTCTTCACTTCGTCCTTGAAGAGGAATGTACGTGAAGGCATCCTCTTCCAAAAAAGGCCTGTTTCATCCATGTTAAAAACTTGTTCAGGAAGGTAGCCTCCCTCACTGATGAGGTTAGGAAACTTTTCCTCCACGTAACGACAAGCAGCATCGTTGTCAGCAGAGGAAGCCTCACCATACAGAAGCACATTTCTGAGGCCGTATCTTATTTGAAATTTTTCGAACCAGCCTTTGCTGGCTGAAAAGCCTCGTCCGCGAGGAGGTGAATCACTCCTGGCAGCGCTAGTACTGGCTTGAGGTTCATCAGCACCTTCTTCAGCCTCTTCATTGTCGTCATCGGGCAAGATTTGGTCGTAGAGAGCTTTGGCCTTTGTCCTGATCATATTAGTGTCCACACTCACTGTCTTTTTCCTGCAATCAGCAATCCACAATGCCAGTGCAGCTTCCATTTTCACAATTCTGTTATTACGCGGAGTTATCACACGTTTTGCTTCTTTGTTGAAGGTTATTGAAGCAGTTTTGCGGATGTTTGCTTCCGCTTTCTTGATGTACCGCACTGTAGATTCATTCACCCCGTAATGGCGTGCCACAGATGCATAACTTCTGCCCTCTTTGATCATATCTAAAAGTTTCACTTTTTCGCTGATGGTCATCATCTTCTTCCTCTTGGGCGCCCCGGAGGAAGCTTTCGCAGGGGCACAGCACTTAGGCGGCATTATAAGGGCTTAATTAATAAAAAAAGTTATCGCCAACACAACACTAAAATACAGTACAGGTACTGTATGCGAGACAGTCAACATCATGGACAAGACTGGCGAGCTACAACAAGGGAAGATGCTAAGTGAGGCTGCAATGATGCGCAGACAATCAACTCACAGGGATAAATCCACTCGTACTCTTATTGGTCGATGTCACACCGGAAACCAATCACGCGCCTTTATGAAAGCCCGTGGTATGTACAGTACTGTACTCTGAGTCAACTCATCTCTTTGGTTGACATGCAGGGATCCTTCTCTCTCACCCATCAACATGAAACAACGCTCCTTTTCACAAATGTGGCTGCTGACCCGCGAAGCACTGAAGCCGCAAAACATGAAGCGCGAAGTGGCGAGGGAACACTGTAATAGCAGTGTGTTGAAAAAAGTGAATAAGGCTCAAAATCCTTCTAATAGCTTTTTATTCCATACACACAAATGCATTGGGAACACTACACATTCTATTCCAAATCAAACATGAATAAAATATATCAAATTTGTGTTGTTTCTCTAAAAAAAATTGCAGAAAAGTGAATATTAGACTGTTCAAAAAAATAGCAGTGTTTGTATTCTTCTTTACAAACTCAAACATTCACTATATAAACTGAAAAATGTTTGAAGATTTTGCTTTCCTTTGAATCACTTAATTAATATTTAGTTGTATAATCACTGTTTCTGAGAACTGCTGTACATCTGTGTTGCATGGAGTCAACCAACTTCTGGCACCTGTGAACAGGTATTCCAGCCCAGGATGATTGGACTACATTCCACATTTCTTCTCTATTTCTTGGTTTTGCCTCAGAAACTGCATTTTTTATGTCACCCCACAAGTTTTCTATTGGATTAAGATCCAGGGATTTGGGCTGGCCACTCCATAACGGCAATCTTGTTGGTCTGGAACCAAGATGTTGCACGTTTACTGGTGTGTTTGGGGTTGTTGTCTTGTTGGAACACCCATTTCAAGGGCATTTCCTCTTCAGCATAAGGCAGTATGACCTCTTCAAGTATTCTGATGTATTCAAACTGATCCATGATCCCTGGTATGCGATAAATAGGCCCAACACTGTAGTATGACAAACATCCTCATATCAGGATGCTTGCGCAACCATGCTTCACTGTCTTCACAGTGTACTGTGGCTTGAATTCAGTGTTTGGGGGTCGTTTGACAAACTGTCTCCGGCCACTAGACCCAAAAAGAACAATCTTACTTTCATCAGTCCACAAAATGTTGCGCCATTTCTCTTTAGGTCAATGTGCTCTTTGGCAAATTGTAACCTCTTCAGCACATGTCTTTTTTTCAACAGTGGAACTTTGCGGGGCTTCTTGCAGATAGCTTGGCTTCACATAGGCGTCTTCTAATTGTAACAGTACTCACAGGTAACTTTAGACCTTCTTTGATCTTCCTAGAGCTGATTGTTGGCTGAGTTCTTGCCATTTTGGCTATTCAATCCATTCAAATGGTAGTTTTTCGCTTTCTTCCACGTCTTTCAGGTTTTGGTTGCCATTTTAAAGCATTTGCAATCATTTTGGCTGAGCAGCCTATCATTTTCTGCACTTTTTTATATGTTTTCCCCTCTCCAGTCAACTTTTTAATCAAGGTACGCTGTTCTTCTGAACAATGTCTGGAACGACCCATTTTCCTCAGAATTTCAGAGAGAAATGCACTGTAACCAGCATGTGCAACATTTGCTGCCTTCCTTCCTTAAATAAGGGCAATAATTGCCACCTGTTTTTCAAAGAATGAATAACCTCACTAATAGAACTCCACACTGCTATTATTTTGAACATGCCCCTTTCAATTAGTGATTCAATTACACAGAATCGGCAGCATGCATGTCATGACTGTTGGGTGTGTTGGATTTCTATTACTCTACTACACCTGCTAGTAAATTATTTGTCATGTAGAAATATCATTTCTACCAAAAACAGTGATTGATCAGGTTAGTGATGTCTGACTGCTATTATTTTTGAACACAACTGTATGTCACATTTACCAGCCCCTTCAATTTCTGAATGAACACAATGAGTGATCAGTAAAATCACTCCTTGT